AGCCTTACAAACGAAATCAAATTTACTTCAATAGGAAAAGACAACCTTTCTCAAGGTTAAGACTGATTTTACAAAGCTAAAGATGAAATTGAAGGAATTAACTTTGCACCGGAGAGGCTCACAAGCCTCGCCAATTGAGAGGCTAATCACCAAGGTCAAAGTAACCTAAAGTGAAGCCCACCCAATCTGGATCAACTATTAAGAGTCTAAGGGTTTAAAATAGGTCAAGTCATCCTTAACAAAGGAAAGACGACCTTGACCAGAAAATCAAGGCAAATAAACAAAGGACAAAAGTGATTGAAAAACAGGCAATCAGGAAGGCCTAGAAGCCATCCTAGAACTTGTAGACTACACAGGTTCAAAGAAAGAGGTCAGCTCCCCAGAGGACAAAAGAATCCAAGGGAAGAAGCCAACCCAAATAGGGCCAGAAACCTCAAATAACATTGAAGTACAAGATAGATCAAGTCAAGCAACACCAGATAAGGAGCAAAAGCAGTTATGAATATGTACGTGTGGAGATAAAACAAAATGTAGAGATGTTTGAATTACAAACCACCCCACTTGTGGAAAACAACTACAGGCGCACAGGCCTGGAAAAGATGTCCGCAGAAGTGTTTTTAGAAGTCAGATCAATTACCAGATTGAGCAGGAGGAACTTCAGAGGCTGGGACGGTCAGGGCTTGGCTCTCCTCAGCAACCTCTGGATTCTTCATCGGCTTTGGAAGTCCCCAGGCTTGGGCAAAGAAGGATATGTCTCTTTTCTGAAGGACATCATACAGGGACTTCTGCATCCCGTATTGTCCCAGCTGGAAGCATAGAGCTCCCTCTTAGTCCAGCCTAGCCTCGCCCTCAGAAGTCTGGAGCCAGTTCTGGGATATCTGTGCCCTACGTCTTAGAATGATCTACTCCACCTCAGCCAGGAAATCTGCACTTCCCCAGAAGGCCTGAACAGTAGCAGGGCCAACCTCCGCAGCTTTCCTCCTCAGCTCCTCCTCCATCACTCGGTGCGCCGCCTCAATATCACCCAACCTCCTCCATCCCCTCTCAGCACCGCCGCTTCTAGCCTCCTCTCGAGATCTGCAGTTTGCTCCTAAAGGCCTGCCATTAGGGTCTGAGCATCATTCTGCCCTTCGTCTAGGCGACGAGAGCTAGAGGAGGCCAGGATGAAAGCCTGGAAACAATAAAAATGGGACTGTTGGAAGGAACGATCAGGGAGCATTGAATTGATGGTGGGGAATGAGGGTTGGAACATACCTCAGATATGGAGTGGATGGCACGACGGATAGCCGCCCTAGTTGACAACTCCCCGATCTCTTCAGCATCAATGAGAGGTGTGACCGCCAAGCCTAGGGCCATAGGGTTTACTGTATGACAGAACAGAGAAGCAGAACCGGATTTCATCGAAAGACGGACGGTGTGAATAGGTTTCGGAGCTCCCCCCTGATTGCCAGCTTCTTGAGACTGAGCATCCGAGTCGGAGTCCACATCAACCACATCTTCAGTAGACTTCACAGTGGCTTTTCCCTTCTTTTTGGGCCCGAAGACAGGCCGGAGTGCCGGCCTCTTCCCTGCCCCTTCACCAACAAGGGGCTGAGGGTCAACAACCGGCGTATTCAATGTCCCAGCACTGTCTTCGGGGATGGATCCCCCCGACTTCTCCGAGGTAGCCCCAATGGTTCCCCGGGTCTGGATTTTCCTAAGAGGGATCAAGGGGCCCAGGGTGGCACCAGCCTTTGCAGCAAGACGCTCCAAATGAGAGGCCATCTTATCACCCGCTGCAACAAAACATAAACGACATCAGGAAAGGAAAAACATGTGGAAAAGTGAAATAGACACTAGACCAGGCGAAGCCGACCTGGCAGAAATGTAAGCACTACCACCCTTTTCTCACCTACGTAGTGCCCCATCAGGAAGGGTGCCCCATCAGCGATCATTCTGGCAACGTCGGCATTCCCTTCCGACAAGAACGACATCGCCCATTTCCGGATTAGTTCCCCCCCCCACTTATCCGTGAACTGGAGTTTGCCATTCGCATAACCAAACCCATTTTTTCCTCCAACCCTTGAAAGAATAAGGGTAGGACTTGGCATCAAATAAACGGTGGCCAGCCCGTTGAGAAATTGAAAGATAGCTTGGGGACACAGAGGCACCGGGTCTCAAAGAGTGAAAGAAATGAAAGAAAAGATCGGTTGCCGGGCGAATTTCCAAATGAAGGCATCGGGCGATGAACCCAGCGATAAACATGTGAGTAGTTGGGGAGAACTGACCCCGAATCACCCCGTAATAACCCATGACGCTTAAATGGGCATTATGTAGCGGGAAGCAAAGCCCCACTTGCAAACTAGCGAAATGGACCCCGAAGTGAAGGGGAGAAGGGGGATCAACGATGTTCTGTTCGAGCGTAGGGCGGAAACAAATGACACTAGGGCCCGCAAGGGCCACCGCCTCACAGAATTCAGCATCAGATAAGGCGACGGTCGGGACTTACCGGGCGTATTCGCAAGAAAGAAAGTGTAAGGAATAAATGTAATTAGATTTTGATGATGCTAGGTTAATTAGAATTTGAAAGTACCCCTATAGAACTTTTTGTATTGGAAATTTCTTTGTAAGTATTAGCATAGTCGACATGCCAGAAATCCTCTTGGTCCTCTTGATCAGAACATCTACCAGAGTTGCTCTCCAGAGAAGCTACCAGAGTTGGGTACCAAGGCAGGTACCATAGTTGGCATCAGAGGCAGTCATCAGAGTTCAGATCAGAAAGCCTCATTATACTTGCTCTTACTTAGCAGAATTCCAAGGCACTTTCCAACGGCCGTGAAAATAACGGGAAATTCCCTAACGGCTAGGAGCCATTCGACGGAAACATGGTATTGTACACGCATTAAATGCTCAATTAATATTGTACATACGAAGATATATTTAAAGATGATGATTGACCATGCGGGTATCTTTACGCCCCCAAAATAGGAAGTCGAAGGTCCAACTGGTCAAATCACCAATACAAGCATTTAATGAAGCTGCCTTCTACACTCCAACGGTGAATCGTTCTTCCGAATAATAATAATAATACTGCCTTACGCTGTCATATTTTGATATCTTTAGTATATTTAGCTCTCGTAGTTGGATTAAACTCCATCACATTTATTTGTCACTTGGGAAATAGTTGTAGCTTATTAATAGTAACAAAAATTAACACAAACTATAACTTCGTATTGATTTTTTTAACTATAAGAACCATTAAAATAATTAATAAAAAATTATATGATATGTTTTGTCAAAAAAGTTATATGTAGTACTCCCTCCGTCTACTTCAAATGTTCCACTTTCCTTTATTGGATGTCACACTTAAATGTTCCCACTTTCTATTTTAGGAAACAATTAGCACTCTTAAATAACAATTTAATCATCAAAAATTAAAAAATAATACATTTATAACATTACAGTTATCATCAATAACTCAATATATTATTTATTCATCAAAATTATTTCTCAAAATATATTTGAATTAGCATATTGAATTATTATCTAAATAATCATGTCATTTTGTCGTGAGAACCTTTGAATGGGATGGAGGTAGTATATCTTATATATACAATTTGGTTCAAATAGATAGATAAGATCAAACATTAAATAATAGGCACGATGACATTATATTATATTATTTATATGTGAAAAACTTGAAATTATTAGATAATGACAAAAGCGTACCAGAATATAAAAGGTGTATACATATACAATAACAACATCCAAGCCTTATTCCTAAAAGATATTTGGGTCGGCTAACATGAATCATATCATCATCAAAAGGAAAAGAAAGAAAATAAAGATAAAAAAGATAAGCTATGATAAAAAGATAATATAAAAGAGATGAATATACATAAAAATGATAAAATAAAAATGATACAAATAATGCTAAAAGGTGTATACATATAAATCACAAAAAAACATAAGATCAAAACATGACGACATAAGATCAAAACATGACGACACTTTTAGTAATTTTGAATACACTTTTTAGATGTATAACAAGCCTTTGCACATTATAGTTTCACATTTACAATTTCGATCTTTTTTTTTGTTTTCCGTCCCAATAAGATGGTCTTGTATGATTGTACAATACTCCGTATTTGGTAAGGTTTGTGTAAATCTGAATAATTTTTATCTTATTCTTACTTACACATTATACAAATTCAGTTTTCTTAAAATAAAATCACAACATCTTTCCTCATACTCCCATCGTCCCATTTTACTTAGTCAATCTTAACTTTTCAAGTCAATGGAGTCTAACTTTGACCGGTTATATGTTTATATAGAAAAAGTATTAATAATATGAAAATGGTATGAAAATGTTCTTTGTTAAAAATACTATCATAAAAGCATAAAATTATTAAATTTTGCATAAATATATTAGTTTAAATAATGGAAAGTTCCCGAAATACGACTAAAACAGTTTCAAAATTCTAAAATAGGACTGTCATGTTTTTTATTCTCAAAATAAGACTAATTACTTCCATGTTCAGAAAATACTGCAATGTTTGAAGTCTGGTACTGCCAAAACATGGCAGTAATTAGTCCTATTTTGGGAATAAAAACATGGCAGTCCTATTTTGGAATTTTCAAACTGTTTTAGTCCTATTTCGAGTAATATCTCTTAAATAATTGTTCAAAAATGACTAAGTAAATTGAGATGGAGGGAGTATTAAGAATGAAAAATGCTTGATGTACACCTTTTGTGTACACCTTTTGTGTACACCTTTGGTGTACACCTGTCTGTCTCCAGCCGAGTTATCTGTCCACTGAGAAAAGGTGTACCCAAGCATTTTTCTTTAAGAATTCATTGCGTCAACCTTTTACTTTTTCTATAATCGGAGGAACAACCTTAGCTGATTCGGTGGAGCCGCCACTAGCGTTATGAACCAAACCCCACTCATTACAAGTAGCTCATAATTAATTAAATACGGAGTAATTTAAATCGTCCAAAGGAACGTATGTATGTATACCTGTGCTCTTCTTCACTCCATGGAATCCCTTTACGACGTTCTTGGTCCGAGCGGGAGCCGCCTTTACCGGCAGAGTCGTGAGAGGTGCCGGCGGCTCCGCCACCGCGGGTTGCGTCGGAAAGCCGATCGGAGGACGTCAACGTAGCCGAACGGGCACGCGGGTCTTTGGCGGCTGCAGTATTAGAAGTGGCGGATTCCTGTTGAGCATAATAAGTGGGGAGTGGAACGCGGCCGGCCTCAATATCAGAAACATCCTCAACCAGCAATTGGTAATGCCGTTTCAACTCTTCCACGGTTCTGCTGGGAACAATCGAAGCAAATGTGTCCCAGTGTTCCTTTGAATCTTCAACCCAATGAATCGCGATGGCATTCTCAAAGGCCTTTTCTTCTTCCCTGCTCCAAACCACTGACATGACGACGACGATGATGGGGTTAGGCCCTGGCCCTTCACTTATTTTTTGGTATTATGAGAGAATTGAAGAGAGTGCGGGAGAGCGGAAAAAAACATTGGTAGGGTGGGTTTTGCTGGATAAGAAATGGAGTCTTCTCATTGTATTAATGGAGTAGGACCACTTGTGAGGGTGAAGGCATGGGTTGCATTGTCATCTTTAAACCAATGTCTTCACAAGCGTACATATATTATATTACTCCAAATAAGGAATCTCGCATGACATAATAATAAAATACTACCTCCGTTCCCAATTTAACTTCCAAATGAGTTTGGCACAAAGTTTAAGATAGTGGATATTGTGTGGTGGAGAGTTGTGCACAGGAGAGAGAAATGTGTAAGAAATGTTGTGAACCACAAATTCTTTAACAAAAAGGGAAAGTGGAAGTTTTAATTGGAACGGACGGAAAAGGAAAGTTGAAAGTTTATTTAGGAACGGAGGGAGTAACATCCCACGAGATTTTAAAGTGAACTAATATGAATCGATTTATGATATCAGACCTAAAAAGACAAAAATAAATACTCCGTAAAAGAATAATGACTGAATTCTAATTATATTATTATTGCATGAGATAATAATACAAATTGTTGGGATAATGGACCGGGTTCAAGACTATCGGCCCGTTACACCCGAGCTTTGGCCTGACCAAGCTCAGAACACAGTCCGACTAATGGATATTAGTTCGGGATTATTTATTTATTTATCGGGTCGGTTGGCCCGTTAGCTTCGAGATGTATTATTAATTTGGGCCAAGCTCACATAGGTTAGACTTTGGACTTGTGATGGATGCCTATAAATAGGCCATCACCTCATGTATTCTCTACGCTATTTTTACTATACTGAAATGCTGCTAGTTTCTCTACCGGGATATTTTCTACCAATGTTGGTGCTTTCATTGAGAGCCTCTATTGTCTCTCACATCACTTTAGTAGGAATTAATCAATAAAATTCAGAAAAAATAGGCAATGATCGAAGGATTCTGGCAGTTTTTCATGTCTGTGATTAAAAATCTGGAAAAGGCCCTCAACTTGATCTGCTCTTCGGTGACTCCGTTTGGGCACATGCTTTTGCAAACAATATGGAATTCCGAGAGGTGTTTATTTGGATCTTCCCCTCTTAGGCCATTGAAGGATGTCAGTAGATGAATGAGCCCCGATTTGAGCTCAAACGTAGCACCTTCATCAAGGGTGGGGAAAGTGATACACAGTGGTTGTTGATTGAGGTTTGGAGCTGTGACTTCCCTCAATGTTCTTGTTTCAAGAGCCATAGTTATTGGCTCTTCGGGCTCGCTAGAATGAGAGCTAGCACTTGATGATTCTCCCGAGTCAGTACTTGAGAATTTGTTTTTCAACCGCTCGAGAGTTCGTTCTATTTCGGGGTTTGTTTGGTAGGTGAGTTGGTTTATGGATCTGGTTTTTATCATATACTCAAACAACGCTCAGAAAAATAGAAATCTTTATAGATGTATTTTTTTTTTTTTCTTGAAATAAAATAAAAAGAAAAATTAATTTCCTTTCCCCGGTAACGACGCCAAATTTGACGTGCACTTTGTCACAGTGCGTCAAAATAAATTCAATACTAGCACTAATACGTAGTATAGGTGAAGTAGAGTTCATGTCCACAGGGAAAGGAATAATTCTCTTTTTATAAAACTAGTAAATAAAAGGGGGGTTTTGGGATTGAATGATTTAATTTAAATACTAAGATGAACAACTTATATGTGTTTTAATTCAAAGATAAAAGAACTTGGCATTGCTACTTTCCACTTGTTGATATATTTTAGTCGATCATTGTTATATCTCTAACTTATTCCCTCTCGAATACTCAATCGAGGAGTATATCCAATTCATCGAGGGTAGTTATTAACAATGACCGTTCATTAATAACCCTTACTATTAGTCAAGTATAGAACACCGCGGTTTAATCTCTTAACTCCTTGATGAAATCAATTGCGATTGATAACCTCAACACAACGGTTTCGCTTTAACCAACAAAATTAATCCCTCTTAAGTTTATCAACCACGACCGTGCATTAATAAACCGAAGTTACTTACTTGTGAAACCATCAACGATTAACCATCGGTTCGTCGATCGTTTCTAGTAATAATTAATATATGAAACAAAATTAGTTGATCCTTTAAGTAATGTTCAAAATATTAATATGAAATATGAATAAGAATTAATTAATATTCAAAGAAGAATATTACTAAAGGAGATGAATCATACTATAATTAATATCAAAATGTTAACTAATTGTCATCTTAGCAACACTCCCCAACATTAATATAGAGGAAGAAAATACTACTCAAACTAATGTCAAGATGTTAACTAATTATCATCTTAGCAATACTCCCCAACATTAATATAGAGATAGTATTAAGGAAAGAACTAATAATTAATATTCAAGGGAAGAAGTTAAGAAAATAAATCACAACTTTAATAATCAACAAGCTTCAAGAGCAACACCAAGAATTGGAAGTTTAGCTCCTCATATGGAGACTAAACATAGCTAGAAAAATATAATTAAAGAAATGCTATTCTAAATTGAGCTTAAGAGTATGGAAGAAGGGATGGTTTTTGTGGGAATATAATGAAATGGATGTATTTATAGGGAAATGGAGTATGCAGGGGTGTGTACCCGATCGGGTATCGAAAGGCTCCCGATCGGGTACACTCAGAAGCTTCCCGGAAGCTAAAAACGTCATGCATACCCGGCCGCGTGTGTCGGCTACCCGATCGAGTATGACAATTGAACGTGGCCAAAATCTTTCCCGCATGTTGCTTTGTTCCCGGATTAATCCGATTTGATTATTTAGCGGGGTACCCGATCGGGTATAGGTCATACCCGACCGTGTACAACACAAAAATTCAAGATCTTTATTTTTGTCTTGAGATTTTGCACCTTGCTTCCACTTTTGATGTTCACCAATGGTCCCTAGAGTGATCTTGGACCTGTTTGAGCTCAGAATAAACCTAATCTAAACAAATTACAAATATTTTACAAACTAAACTATTACACCAAAAGTGTGTAATTTCAAAAGTAACAATCAATCAAAACTAGTTAAAAACACAAACATAAACATGGAAATTACACGATTATCAATTGGCATACCCACCGAGAAACCATTTGATAAGTTCTATTCATGTGTGTATAGGATTATCGGCGTATAGAGTAATGTAATAGTCATCCGACTTGATGTCAATACGTACTACATGTGCGGAGTAATGTACTTTGACCATGACCAACGCTTGCACTCCAATAGGGGTATGTAGTTGATTGATTCAACCTCTTTGAGGACATCTTGACCTGAAAAGGCTTTAGGGGGTCCCTCTCTCTCTACTTTGTTGTTGAAAACCTTTTTCAACTCTCGGAATTTATGGTCATGAGGTAAGAAACGACGATGGTCCATATACACACATTTCTTGCTGAATTTCAGCCATGTAGAACGAGTTTTTGGGCCACAAATGGGACATGCATAATAGCCTTTGTACGTACAGCCGGATAAGTTACCGTACGCCGGAAAGTCACTAATAGTCCACATAAGTATCGCCCTCATTTTAAACATCTCCTTTTTAAAAGCATAATAAACATCCTACACCCTCGTTCCAAAGGATTTTGAGGTCATCGATCAATGGTTCTAGGTAGACATCTATATCATTTCCGGGTTGTTTCGGACCTGATATTAGTAGAGATAACATCACGAATTTTGTTTTCATGGTCAACCAAGGCAGAAGATTATAAATGACTAACTGGACTGGCCAACAACTATATCTAGAACTAAGTGAGCTATGTGGATTCACTCCATCACTTGACAAAGCCAATATGAGATTCCTAGATTCTTCACTGAAGTCTGGCCACATTTTATCAATGTGCTGCCAAGCTGGACAGTCAGCTGGATGACGTAGTTTACCATCTTTCAACTGATCGGTGACATGCCAAGCCATGTTTTCAGCTGTGTTGGCTGATTGAAACACGCGTTTGAACCGCGAAATAGGAGGAAAATACCATAACACTTTCACAGGAACTCTATGGCTATGATTTATAGCTCCGTTCTTTTTTTCCTTAAACCTACTCTCCCCACACGTTGGACATTTGTCATGATCGGTGTGTTGTTTATGAAAGAGGACACAATCGTTCCGACAAGCATGTATTTTTTGGTAATCTAATCCTAAGACTTTCATTATTTTCTTGGCCTCATACATTGACTTGGGAATGGAATTATCAGAAGGCAATATGTCACTAAGTGCTTCTAATAAAGATGTAAACCCTTCATCAGACCACCCATATTTTACTTTAATGTTAAATAATAACATCACCCCAGACAATCTTGAATAACTTGAACCTGGGTAAAGTGGTTTCTCAGCATCTTCAACCACATCTCTAAACCTCTTCGGATTATTGTCTAACTGGTCATAAATATCCCCTAACATGTCCTCAACTTGGTCGTGGTCATGAAACTGTGAATGTGAGGTGTTAGGTGTTGGATTTTTTTCAACCTCCCCATGCTTAGTCCAAACAAGATATGATTCCAGAAAGCCCACTTTGAATAAATGGACTTTGATTTTTTCAGGGGATTGAAAGTCCATATTGCAACAAGTTTTGCATGGACACCTAATTGACCTACGATTGGCAGAATTAAGTATAGCACAATGAATGAAATCATTGACCCCTTTTATATATTCTGGAGATAATTTGTTTCCATCCCTAATCCAAGACCTATCGGTTTGCATATTCATACCTGATACGTGAACACAAAGACAAAAGGACCAACTCAAACAAGATAGACTATTCAAAAAATATAATTATTAACCACAGATTTGTGGCGGCAAAATAGTTAACCAACTAATGTATACAACCAAGTATACCAAGTATATTTCTACAGATTGCATAGATTTTGAGCTCTCAAAGCAGTAAGATATACAAAAATAGATGTATTTTCCCAAGTGTACATACTAGACTGAATTGTAATTTGAGCACCAGGAATTTTAGGCTGTCTAACACGTGATTTTTTTGCAACTAATTACTCAACGAAAATTGCAGCTTTAGGCTGTATAACATGTGATTTTTCTGCAACTAATTACTCAACAAAAATTACAGCTTTAGGCTGTCTAACATTACATTTTTCAGCAGCTAATAACTCGATCAAAAGTAT